GAAGAACACCATACCTACTGTGAAGAAGAACACCATACCTACTGTGAAGAAGAACACCATACCCAAGGGCATTGAAGATGAAACATGGCTGGGTCTTTCAGCATGACAATGATCCCAAATACACTGCCCGGGCAACGAAGGAGTGGCTTCATAAGAAGCATTTCTAGGTCCTGGAGTGGCCTAGCCAGTCTCCAGATGTCAACCCAATGGAAAACCTTTGGAGGGAGTTGAAAGTCCGTGTTGCCCAGCGACAGCCCCAAAACATCACTGCTCTAGAGGAGATCTGCATGGAGGAATGGGCCAAAATACCAGCAACAGTGTGTGAAAACCTTGTGAAGACTTACAGAAAACATTTGACCTCTGTCATTGCCAACAAAGGATATATAACAAAGTATTGAGATGAACTTTTGATATTGACCAAATACTTATTTTCCACCATGATTTGCAAATAAATTCTTTAAAAAGGAGAGAGAATGCTGAGTTGCATCCAAAGAACACCATACCTACTGTGAAGCATGGGGGTGGAAACATCATGCTTTGGGGCTGTTTTTCTGCAAAGGGACCAGGACGACTGATCCGTGTAAAGGAAAGAATGAATGGGGCCATGTATCGTGAGATTTTGAGTGAACACCTCCTTCCATCAGCAAGGGCATTGAAGATGAAACATGGCTGGGTCTTTCAGCATGACAATGATCCCAAATACACTGCCCGGGCAACGAAGGAGTGGCTTCATAAGAAGCGCACAATTGGTGGCTGACTAAATACTTTTTTGCCCCACTGTACCTATCGATTCCTTTTAAAGTGTGGTTTGTTCAACGCAGTTTTCTGGGTTTGCATGGACCATAAGTTATTCATACTAACTGGGTTTGTACAACACACCAATCTACCAACTAGCATAGCAAATAGTTGGAAGCCTGATTTTAGACTGTAACCCATTCAAATCTTTTGAAGCTAATTAATCTTGCTTCCATTAGCAGCTATCATGAGGATGTCTTCTACTGCTACTTTCTAGATATTATGATTGTCTTTATGATTGTGGCCAAATCAAAACCTTCAAAAGGCATCCTTTATAAATTAGAAGAGACACATTTTGACTTTACAGTACAATAGTAAGCTGAATGAAAATTACTCCAGTCTAGTAAGTGCAGAAGTTCATGTGTAGAATTTAAATGAACACCTGTTGGTTCTGTTTGCAGTTGATTTAGATTTTACTGCTGTGAACACTAGAATTCCCTTCAATTATCAGAGTTGTGCTTCATTGGCCTTAAATTAGTGTAGCTTATGTGGCGGGGTCAGATTTGCACTGACATTACGTGCCAAATCTGATTAATGGAATTCAAAGTCACTTCTAGTAGTGTCAGACTTCTTCAAGACACTTGCAAAGTGTATTTTTTGTAGAAATGGATGGGCTGCAAAACAGTAAAGATCCCCACCCTTTGCTCTCTCTGATAATCTGAGAAAACAATTAGCCTCTGATTGTTCTTCCGATTTCCCCTGAATTTAACAGAACCACTTTTGCTAACTAGACATACATGGAAAAATTGGACAAAGTCCATGCAAAGATTTGCCGTAATTTTTTTGGTATGTTACTACTGAGGAGTTAGAGCATACTGAAGAGTGATGAAGTTCTATATTAAATTATTTTCTTCATGTGTAATTCTTCAATTTCATAGTAAGTGGTATCCATCAAAATATCCAACCTAGCCAAGAACTTTGGCTCCAGGGTTGCCTTTGGATAATTTGGCCCAAGGCACCATAGGAAGAAGTACTGTAGCCTTTGCCGAGCTGTGATCTTTACAGACATGATTTCAGTGCCTACTCAAGAGAGCAAATCACCAAGCTGCGGGAATTGCTGGCTTGAAACATATCTTGGAGAGACACGGATGGTAGGTATATTTTCTATTTTCCTTATTTCCTTCTCTCTAGAGCAGTGTTTCTCAACCTCAGCAACTTTAAGATGGGTGGACTTCCACTCCCAGAATTCCCCAGCCAGCATGAGAAACACTGCTCTAGAGCAAAGCTCCTTGTGTTCCTCCAAAGGAGTGTTGCATACATGTATCTCAGAAGTTTCTTTTCCTTCCCCTATGCAAATCTGGGAACGTTTTATCAAACTGCTATCTCTTCCTTGTTTTGGTGCTTTTGAATGTTTTCCCCAGTCTTATTCAACACCCCCACCACCCCATCTGCTTGTCCAGCTGTTTCCAATGAGATCTGTATCTGTCAGCCCTGAAGAGACAGGCACATGCTATGGGTTTAAGCTATGCTGATAGGATTTCTTGAATATGCTCTTTCACAAATACTGTAACTTTCTCCCTGCCTCCAAAGGTATTGCTCTTGATGTCATTGCTCTGTTTACAGACACACCGCTTTCCAGCACAGCAGACATCACCTCTCCATTCCCAGCAAAAGTGCAACTGTTAATTGTATGTAGGCCTTGACAATTTCCTGTCAAGGTAGCATTTCAGAAACCACACTGCTTGCCTGGGTAAAATTCTTGTATGCTTTTCCTTTCTAGCACTTAATGGATCTGCAGCAAGCAGTAACTGATGTCAGTTCAGTAATGCTCTTCATTTGCCAGCAAATGTAACAGGCTGACTTGGAAACTGCAATATTATCTTGAAAGGGCTGTCTTTCACTTCAGGAATAATTAAAGGGCTTCAGAGTGTGAGGATGAGTAAATGTAATATTTGTCTGAAACTCTTTAAACCAGCTGCATCTTTTCCTAAAAGAGTTGCAAATAAGTGCTACATTTGCAAACATGCAATGCTCTCATGCACCATTTTGAGATCAAATCCAAAGTTTCGCACAGCCATATTAGCTTGCTCAATCCATACAAGATCTGGGGATTCCTGTAACACCTACATTGGGGGATGGAGAGAAGCAAGAATACAAGTTGTCAAAACAATGAGAACATCAAGACTATTTTTCCTCCAAGAGCTACATGCAATGTATGTGTCATATATGGTCTCTTTGTCCCCACTGCATTACTTAACACATACATGCATACACATAGATACTGGTTTTCATAGCAATATGACAAAGGGAGAGAGATGACTAATCCTACATTAGAAACATGGATGAGTGGAGAATCTGAGCACTAGTCCTAATCCTTCCTCTTTACCGCTCCATGCACTGACTTAGGCTATGCATAGAGAGCCTTGGACAATTCTATCAGCCTGTCATTTGTTTCTTACACAGTCCAGTTTTTCTCTCTTTAGTCTTTACAAAAGACCAAGGAAAAAGCCAAAATCAACTGACTGGTCATTTTAAGCACATTCAGGCATCAGGCATATCATCAAGCATTATGGAGAATAAAATTCACTCTGAACTTGGCAGATACCAATAAACATGTGACAGTCTGCCCCATTATTAGGATGCTTAAAAGCAAAAACAAAAAACCATAGCTTTCTGAAGGACAGATCAGTTGATATATATCTAATGTGCCAGCAATATATCGTGCTCTTGCAGTTTGCAATACTCGACTATAGCAGCAGTTTACATTTTAATATTATTTTGGACAATCAAACATCTGATGGAGAAATTGTATCAAGAGAAAACGGGCAAGAGGAAATTGCATCTTTCAGTTATATTGCCAATATTAATCCACCCACATTGTTGCTGTACTGCAAAATATTGTACTCAGGGGCATCTGTATCAATTTGTAGTATATCTAATGGCACCTTTGCTTGGCATGATGAGAGCTGTAGGCCAATGAAGAATGCCAAGGTAGGAAAGTCCGGCTGAACAAATAGTTTTTCTTCCTGATACAAGCTGCTGATCCCCCATTCCACACTGCAGATACCCACTGCTCCATGTCTCACTCTGTGGCAGATGGTTCTAGATATCCCACAATGGCAACTTTGGACTTCCATTATTTGAGGGAATTATGGAAGCTGGATGCCAGTGGAGGCTGACACAAGGATGAGAAGTTTGAAGCCCTCCAGGTTTGCCGAACTGCAACTTCCAATAGCCTCAACCAACATGGCCAATTGTGAAGGTGGTTGGGAGTTGTTTTTCAGCAAATATGTGAAGGACCAAGGGCCAAAAATTCCCCGTTATAGGATAAAATCTTTCATCTGCTTGTTTTAAAAGATTCAGATTTGGCA